TCAATCAAAATTTCATATAAAATCCTATTAATTCAACAGAAAATTTCTACGTAAAATAATTTCTATATATTTATCATAAAATAATTACGGTTTGAGGTAATATCCACATAAAAAACTTACCAACTGAAACAAGGAAACGCCACAGAGCGCAGGGCTATAGGGTGGGGTCGGTTCTTTGATAGCCATAGGGGCCTCAACAACAACAGCAATAATTAGTTGGAAGCCCCAGCAACTCAATTCCACAAAAAATGTTCGCACGCATGCGCACAAACGGAAGCGTTATCTATACATGCCTGTGGGGTGCCTTCGGGAGTGGACTGTATTTTGTTTTTACAATGACCCCCACTACTTTTTTCTCTTGTCTCAAACAACCCAATGAATTAAGCACAGTTGCGCATTTACTATTTATTACCATTAAATTAGAACGTACAAGTGACTCCAAATCTCAACTACCTACGTGCCAGACTCACTTCATACTACTGTTCCGCGCTTCTTTCGCTTCCTCCCTCAGAGGGGGGGCCTGGCAGCCATGCGCACTAACCCAACATAAACCGCCCATCTTGAAATGATAAATTTCAACAAAATTTACAAAGGAGAGTACATTATCATAACTAATATCTACTTACTATAACATAAACATTGTTTTGAATTCTGAACATAAGTAACAAATAATTTGTAAAATTTAAGCAGTTAAGTTTTTTTTAAACAAACGATATCAGTTTCGTTTTGCACTGTTCTTACACTTCGATAGGTAACACACATACGCGATTTGTAGCACGCTTTAGCTCACCTTTTGCTGTTTTCACGGTTACAACTCTTACGACACTGTCACTACCGGGGTGCAGACCTACGATTCTTCCCAAGGGCCACTGCTGCGGCGCAACATTGTCTTCCTTTAAGATCACCAACGAACCGATCTGAATTGTCTCACCACCGCTACGTTGCCATTTTGAGCGCTGTTGTAAGGAATTCAGATAGGACTTCGACCACTGCGACCAAAACTGCTGTAATATTTTCTGTAGTAACTCGTACCTTTTGAGTAATGGCAAAGATTTTTCTTGCAAATTTCTTTGCGGTAAAGCACACATAGCCGTTCCAATGATGAAATGACCAGGTGTCAGGACATCTATATCGTCTATGTCGTTGGAAAGTGGGACTAAAGGTCGGGAGTTCAATATGGATTCGATCTGGCACAATAAAGTGTGAAACTCCTCAAAAGTGAAATGAACATTAAAGGCTACTCTTTTCAAAAAGTGCTTAACTGATCGAACTGCTGCCTCCCAGATTCCTCCGAAATGTGGCGATCGTGCAGGTATGAAATGCCACTCAATTTTATTTTCGCTCAAATAATTTTGAAAGCCATTAGTTTTTGTTAAATCAGTAAGGCGTTTAATTTCATTGTTAGCCCCTATAAAATTTCTAGCATTGTCAGAGAAAATGTGAGCACAAAGACCGCGACGTGAAACAAATCTTTTCAGCACATTTAAAAAATTGTCTGTTGACAAATCGCCCGCCGGCTCCAAATGAACTGCCTTGGAAGACATGCATACAAAAATACAAAAATATGATTTTATCAATTTTCTATTTCTTAGCCGCCCATCTTTGACTAAGTACGGCCCTGCAAAATCTATACCAACAGATGAAAATATTCTACTGGGTTTCACTCGCGATTCGGGTAAATTTCCCATTTGGTAATAATTATCAATAGGTTTTGCTCTAAAACAAATTGTACATTTACGCAGTTCACTACGCACTGTCTGCTTGCCATTCAAAATCCAAAATTTCAATCTAACATTTGATAAAACTACTTGAGCACTAGCATGTAAATTTTTAAGATGTTCGTTTTGAATTATTAACTTAGTAAATGCATGATTTTTAGGTAATATTATCGGGTGTTTCTGTTCATAAGCAAGGTTTGAATGTTTTAATCTACCTCCCACGCGAATAATATTATCTTTATCTACAAACGGATTTAGAGATAACAATTTACTTTTATTTGATAATCGTGTATTATTTTTTAAATCATTTAATTCTGAAGAGAATTCTGATTGAGCCATTCTAGATAGTTTTGTAACCGACTCTTCCAACTCACTTATCGTTAATTCACCGTATATTCTATTTTCACGTGATCTTGAATTTCTCACAAAACGCAACATCCAAGCTACTGTTCGAATTAATTTATTATAATTTGAAAATTTATTAAAAATCATTACGTTGGTCACGTTAGTCAAATTAACAATTTTTTTCGTTTTAAAATCAGGCGTTTCCTTTGATAAATTTGGACAATATGGAGGTGGCCAAAAATTTTCGTTTTGTGTCAGCCAACTTGGGCCATTCCACCATAAAGAATTATTTTCCAATTGGTTAGGGAAACAACCTCTCGAAATAATATCGGCAGGATTTTCAGCACTTGACACGTGATTCCATGATTTAATTTCAGTTAATTGCTGAATCTTAGCAACCCTGTTGCATACAAATATTTTCCAGGTGCTAGAAGGTTTTGAAAGCCATTGTAAAACTATAGTAGAATCACACCAATATTGAATTTTTGTTTCCTTTAACCTTAAAGATGTTACAACCTTTTGCATTAATTTTGCTAGAATAAAAGCTCCGTTTAATTCCAATCGCGGTAGACTTATAGTCTTTACCGGGGCCACCCGAGATTTAGAACATATTAGTCTCGAAATAATTAAACCTGATTTGTCCACTACTCTCAAATAAATACATGCACCATAGCCCAATTCAGAAGCATCACTGAAGCCATGCAACTGAAACTCTATTGCATTTTTTGTTGTAATTTGTCTCATTATTGACAGGTTGCTCAAAGAAGTTAATTGCCTATAAAAATATAACCATTNTAAGCTTAATAGCTTTTATAATCGTTCATTCTTCGCTGATCTGTTGAGGTGTACGGAGGTGTGGTGCTCGCGGGGCTCGTGGGCTGGCGGTCGACTTTCTTCCTCACGTTAGCGTGACAGGTACCGCTTTCATGCGGGAGAGTACAGCCCTTGGCGTCTGTAATACCAGTCCTAATAAGATAAGGGTCGTCGCCTTCAAGGGGCATGTATAGATAACGCTTTCGTTCGTGTGCATGCGTGCGAACATTTTTTGTGGAATTGAGTTGATGGGGCTTCCAACTAATTATTGCTGTTGTTGAGGCCCCTATGGCTATCAAAGAACTGCCCCCACCCTATAGCCCTGCGCTCTGTGGCGTTTCCTTGTTTCAGTTGGTAAGTTTTTTATGTGGATATTACCTCAAACCGTAATTATTTTATGATAAATATATAGAAATTATATTACGTAGAAATTTTCTGTTGAATTAATAGGATTGTATATGAAATTTTGATTGATTTTTATTAAATTTATTTTCAGTTCGAAATTTTGATTGATTTTTTTTCGATTTATTTTCGGTTAGAAGTTTTTGATTTTTAAGCCGTTTTAAAATTTTCTAGTAATGTCTTTTTTTTGTTAAGTTCTAAGTAATTTATTATTTATTTTTATGGGGTTTTAAATTGCAACGATATGTATCTTGGAGTATATTTTTTCTTAGATGATGTTATTAGCCTGTTATATTGACAATGTCCGCGCGATCCACTTGCTACGCCATCTACTGATAAGCGCTCGTCCGCGTTCTGAACTAATTTGCAAATGGGGGAAAAATAATTAAAATTGAAATCGCTGCTGCTCTGACACCCGCTTAATGAGGCCCATGACGACGGCGGTAGAGCCCTAGCGGGGGTGCAGAGTCCTATATGGGGACCCGTGACTGGGAGGGCGAAGCTCTAGGCCTACCTATGTGGGATAAAGACATACATGGGACCTTAGATGGCATTGGTCTGGGCTAGGGGCGAAGCCCTAGGCCACATACCTACGTGGAGGGCTCTGGGGGCAAAGACCTACGTGGGGGACTGCGGGATGCGGGGGTGCTAAATTCAAATTTCCCGCCCTGTTCTCTGATTGGCCGGAGAAGTTGGGAAAAAATGGAGTGGAGGAGGAAAAATTGGTCAAAAATGACCAGGATGAACCTTCATAAGAAAAAGCATGGGATTTTGGCTCCTTTTGCTTGGGGGCGCTGATACCGGTTTTTTAATTACAAGACGAGATTTTAGATGGTCTTGAAATTTTTTCTACTGATAACGCCAAGTACTACTACTACTGATAAGCGTTTGCTGCGCTCCAACACCGAAGCGTGGGGCCCTGAGGCGAAGCTCCTCGCGGGAACCTAACTCCGGCATACCTACGTTGGGGTACACGCGACAGCGTATCCCCGACATGGGGTGACCTACGCGGACGGCGTGGGCGACCTGCGTGGGGGCCCCAGGGGGCAAAGTCCTAGGGGCAAAGTCCTAGGTGCGGCGAAGCCCTATGTTCGGAAGGCAACCTACGTGGGGATACCTACATGGGGGCTCTAGGGGGCAAAGCCTTAGGTGGGGGTCCTAGGGGGCAAAGCCCTATGTGGGGTCAAAGACCTAGGCGACTACATTTTGAATTTCCCGCCATTTTCCCGCCAAAAATGCTGAGCTCTGATTGGCTGGCGGGGGAAGGGAGGGGGAAGGGAAAAGGAGGAGGAGTGGGGGTGGTCTCAACCGACGCATTACCTACTGGCGGTTTCGCTTGTTTTCGTATACTAAGCCAGCTTCGGAAAACAGCCTCTCGCTATAAACACTGCTGCAAGGAGCTGAAAGATACACTTTGGCAAACTTTGTCAAATGTGGATAGTGTTTCGAGTTAACTGACCACCAAGTGTAAGGGTCGCGCTGGCGATCAATTCGACTTGTCTTCAAATAGTAGTCAATCTCGTTTGCAATTGGGTTTTTTCCCTGATCGCGACATTGACTATTGTTTTCATTTGCTACTTCATCGAAACAATCCCAAAAGGTGTCGTGTTCCTCTATTTCTTTGTAGGTATTGGAGACGCCGATGAACTACCACTGTTAGAAGACTCGTCGCAAGTCATTTTTAGGTACTCCAATAAGATCTTCTGTCACGCTCTTTCAGCTTCAAGTGTTCCCAAATAGTTTGTCTAAGAAAGTTGCAATAAGGTAAGTCGGATCTTCACTCATGGTGTTAAAACGAGATTCCAATTCAGCTGTTAAGGAGGCTCTCATTCGGGACAAGTCGGCTGTTCGTTGTGCAGTCTCATTCTTCTCTAAGTATTTTTTTAATGCAGCTACATGCGGCATAACTTCGGATATGCAGGAAAGGCCAGAACTTGTGATTTTAGTTATTTCTTCAAATGGCTTTAAAAGTTTTACACACTGTTCCATCAAGCACCACTGATGAGTTGTTAAATTCGTGAGTTTGTCGTCGTGCTCAGCCACATAAAGAGAGATTGCCCGTTTTTGTTCCAACAAGCGTTCTGCCATATAGAAGGTAGAATTCCACCTCGTGTTGATATCCTGCACTAATTGATGCTCAGGTAAACTTAACTCCTTTTGAATCACCAACAGTTTTTCTTGTGCTAAACCCGAATGATTAAAGTGAGTTACAAGACGTCTACCTTTGGCAATCATGTCCATTACTTCAGACTGTATCTTCAATGATTCAGTCACAACCCTTTGAAATGAATGAATGAAACATCTGGCAGAATTATACTCCGCCATTCGAACGCCTTTCACCATGTTAGCACCACTGTCATGAACAAGTACATGTACTTTACTTTGCTCAATATCCCAGCGAGCTGCGATAGCATTGAATTCATTGGCTATGTTTTCTCCAGTGTGAGATCCTAAAAACGGTTTCATTGCGAGAACTCCGTGTTGAAGCTGGAATTCTGGAGACAACCAATGAGCTGTGAAACTCAGAAAGCTAGAGTTATTATGCAAACATGTCCACATATCAGAAGTGACAGAAACTGCCACTGCGTTTGAAATGCTTGTTTTAATTTTTTCAAAAATTTTGTTGTAGATATCGGGAACAATTTTTTGGGTTATATAGGTGCGGCTTGGCATTTCATAGCGGGGTAAAGCTTGTTGCAAGAGTCTTTTGAACCCAACCCTTTCTACAATAGAAAGCAGCTCATTATCTAGTGCGATCACTTCTGCAATTAAATAATTATACTTTTTTGCCTTTGTATCGTTTATATCCCAAAGCAGTTTTCTTTCAAACGATTCTGACAAAGTTAGCTGCTTTTCTGTCAATGTCGAAGACGAACTTGTACTAGGGACAGCGGGTTCCACAAGCTGCGCAGGTACGCCTTTGTCTTTCCCTTTTTTCACCAATAGAAACTTCTCTAGATGTTTTGATTTTAAATGATTACTCATGGCAGAAGTACCTGAGGGAAGATAAAAAAATATCATTACATATGTATATAATCTAAAGTGAAATGTCTCTTGTTTCGGAGATCTTGGAAATAAAACTGTTTCGGATATTTTACTTAACTAAAGTATATTTACTAATACGTTGACAATCTTAGTTTACTTGCTAAGGAAGATCGTAAGTAAGTTCCCATTTTGAATACAATAATTGGTTTTTATAGTGCCCTAGGTTAAATTATCATTAAGTGTTGATGACCAGTGATTAGGTACAGTCCAAGGAATTCCAAATCCTAAGCCTCTTAATTGTATCAATAAAATAAATGTAATCTAATATATTAATAGGGTTATAATTTGTATCTGGATAAACCCGGACCCTTCAATTATTCCCGTTTGATGTATAAACTAGTTTATTATTGTCAGGTAATTTATTATCTTTAGTTACAGTTTGAATATATTTCAAAAGCGATAATTGATCAGTTAGAGATTTAATGGTCATAGCTTGATTAGTTATATGTATATCTTTCTATCTCAAAATTTCTTCTAAGTACTTAATTCTTATCTACATCGCGCTGTTCGTCTATCGAATCCAAGTAATCTGAAGCTTTTTCAGATGAAATAGTAACATCACCAACGTAAGGTGTATCCTCACAGCATGTTATCAAGTTGTCTTCGTGATATTTTACATTTTTTACAGATTTGAGGCAGCTAGGATGATATTCTTTCACATCTTATGCATTTGACACCATTAGGTGCACGTTTTAAACATCTCTTACAATTTGTAGCAGATTCCAAATTAATATCCATTTTAAATAAGACAACTTAAAACGACCGTTGGTGTTTTTTTTTGTAGATAATATGAGGATAATGTCATTCTTTGTAATTCACCCTCCACTAAAGAACGATATGATTTGACATCCTTTGAATGATTTGCCATATTGACTTTCATTTTAATGATTAATTTTTTAAAATAGTCTTCTTTCTGAAAAAAAATCATATACTTACGTTTAATATTTCTTGCAGAAAAGGCTAAAATAGTAAATCTACAGGGAATTTCCTATTTAAATGCCCTTCTTTCAAGAGGCGGAAGTTAATCTTTTCCTCAAATTATTTTCCTATAAACCTTCGCTTGTTGACTTATAGCCTTCCAATGAGCAGATTTACAAAATATTTTGTTTTTAAATTTATGAACAAGGAGAGGAATCTAATATTAGATATATATTGTTTTGTATAACGAAATTTATTCTTTTAAATCAATATGAAGGAAAAAATGTTATCAATAAAAAAAGCAAATTATAAAACAAATAAGTTCCAATTCAAAAACTAAGCAAGATTATACATTTTACATTTATCTAAAACGATATCGTTAAATTTCGTTTCTTCGAATAAATAAAAAATTAAAGCTCATTATCAAACCTATTTTTTTAAATAAATTAGGATTTTTGGGCAAAAAGTTTAGATGAGATAAATTTCCTTTAATTTTGCCACTGAAACACCTCCCCAAGTAAAAATTTAAGAAACATCGTTTATATAGGGACATTTGTGTCTCATTTAAATGGTACATCTCCTCTGTCTCTAAATGTATTAACACTTGCGATACGACCTTTAAGCAAAGTTGTTTCCAGTCTTCTATTGTACTAAGTGGTAAGAGATTGCATAAATGTTCGTATTAAACCAAACGTAACAGTGACAGGTCCGGCTTTAAAAAATATTGCAGATGCTACCGTTCTGCTGAAAATATCATGTCGTTGTTTTAACTCGTATTTTAAGACATATTAGGGATGTATTATTTATCAGGACACGGTTGCATAAGTGTACAGATAAAATTGTGCGTAGATAATTGTTACACAATACATATAACACTTATTGTATCATTTAACTTACTTTAATAAGATATTAATGTTATAATATTACTTTATTACGTTTATTTATATTCAAATTTTGCAATCAATGAGTTTCGTCAATTCCTTCAAGTTTCGCAGTTGGTCCGGTGATAGGGCTTCAGACTGAATTTTGAAAGAAAATGCAGTAGTAAAAGCGTTTTTTATTAACCCTCCCATCTGTAATACCAGAAAAGGAGATTAGAAGGTTCTGTTAGTTTCATCGTATTCAGCCATCTTTTTTCTTGCTTTAATCAACAATTTAAATTTATTGGATGGTAGACCATCATTGAGTTGAAAATTTTTGTTGTTCTCAATTTCCCTGGAACAAATTAATAATCGGGCCAACCGTCTCATGTTGCATTTAGCTACATTTAATGTTTCTCTTTGTGAGTTTTTATGTTTTATATTTTATTAGCTTTCATCATATTCAAGGGGTCACAACAGAAATAGACGTTCCGTCAATACAACATTTACAACGCTGCACTGAAAACTTAACTACACAGTTACCCTAAAAAAAATCATTGCTTTTCTTCGGGAGATTTTGGAAAATGAATATACTTTGGTGCAATTTCTACTAAAAATCTATGACTTTTTCAATTATATTATGTGCAGTGATGATAGATGTATCAAATCTGTGAACTACATCACGTATTGGTGTTTAATTTGATGCAAACCTGTAAAATAATTAAAAATACTTTACTTTAAAAATATATTACTTTTTACTTTACCATAAAAATAACAGTACTTCTGTTTAAGCAGACTTCTTTGGTGTACCCCTTAATCATGTAGCATAAATATAAAAGTTCGATTGCTTATATTCTTCTATTATAAGAATAATTGTACTCCTAGAAATCCGAAAATGCTTGCGGAACTAGAATATAATAATAAATTAATACTAATGTATGCTAATAAATAATAATTATAAAACCAAACGAAATATGATGTAAAATAACCTCAAATACTTACCTCTTCGTCCGTAAAGGTATGTAACATATTGGAGACAGTTGTTAATTTCTGCCTCATCAGATGACGACAATTATTCTTCCAAAACCATTACCAATTTAAACGTCATATTGTATTTTTTGTTTATCGAACTAGATTCAGCACGAGCTCTTAGACCTCGTGCTGAAAATCATGCACTAAACGAATTCCTAGTGTAGTTTTTCTCATAACTCGAACATGTTGAAATTGCATTATCAGTCCGGAAATTTTAAGTCGAACAAATAAATTACATCGGGTGCACTCCAGTGCAGCACCAGTTCAATAAGTCGAAAACACTACAGTGTGACATAGAAAAAAGTACATTGCATAGTGTCATACAATAGAGGATACTAAAACAAGAAAAAAAGTTCCTATGAACATGGGTCCGCAAGGCCTTCGGTTAAAGGATGGTGTTGAATTTTATTTTTTTTATTTGCAAAAACAATGATAAATACTTCAACAATTAAATTTTAATGGTATGATGAAAAATATGATTAATTAAAACAAAACATTAAGTTTTTAGAAGATGTTCAAATTGTTGCCCTTGTACTTCAATACATTTTTCCATTCTTCTTCTTAATGATTGACGGCATCTTTGAAATATTCCTAGGTTATTATGAAATCTATCTGCCGATTCCATAATTCTTATCCATAATTGTTCTTCATTATGTATTTCTACAGCATAAACTTCATTTTTCATAAATCCCCAAAATGAAAAATCGAGGGGATTAAGGTCGGGACTACGAGCTGGCCAGGGTACAGGCCCCCTTCGACCAATCCACCTATTTCCAAATCTCCTGTCCAAATATTCCCTTGCCACTCGAGAAAAGTGAGCTGGCGCCCCATCATGCATGTAATACATTCTTCCAATAATGGCCAATGGGACATCCTCTAATAATGTGTTTAAATCATTCTCCAAGAAATTTCGATACAGTGCACCTGTCAATCGATTGGGCAATCGAAATGGGCCAATTAAGTAATTGTCGATTATACCTGCCCACACATTAATAGAAAACCCATATTGGTGACTCCGAATTATAGTTTGATGAGGATTTTCATCACTCCAATGGTGCATGTTATGTAGGTTCAGAATACCATCACGACTAAAACTAGCTTCGTCAGTAAACAAAATTGATGAAATAATGTTTTCTCTTTGGTTTTGAAACCATTCGCAAAATTGTACACGAGGAACAAAGTCATGTTCCAATAGTGAATGAATTTTTTGGAAATGATATGGGCGAAGAAGTTGTTCTTTGAAAATTTGTCTAACTGATTCACGGTTAAGGTTTCGCACCGCTGAACTTGTTTTCCTGGTGCTTGTTCTCGGATTATTTTCTACCATTCGTAAAACAGTTTCTTCGTTTCGCACAGTGCGACGAGTTCTGGAAACCCCACTATTCAATTTTGGTTTTCTAAAACAGCCATCTTCTCCCAAACGCCTATGCACATCAATAAATGTTCGAACATTAGGAACTTGTCTTAAAGGATATCTTTCTCGATAGATACGTTGAGCTTCGTAAGAATTTGATCTAGCTTCGCCGTAACACATAATCATGTCCCTGTATTCTTCAAAAGTGTAGCGAACCATTTTTGAAAGCAATTTTGAATAATCAGTGAGAAAACCAATGAAAAACTTAATCAAGAACACAAAATACCTCTAACAATTATTATATTAGTTTGACAAGTGTCATTATGATACATTATTTAATTGGTATTTATCATTGTTTTTGCAAATGTTACTTTGGCGCTTTTTGAATAATTTGCGTGCATTGTCGGCTTTTGTACTGGAAATATTGCTTCTAGCGACTTGGACAAGGTATACCTTTCTTACGTATAAAGAAGGGATAACAAATTTTTTTCAGTCGAAAATAACATACAGTGTATAGCAAAAAAGTTAGGACCGATTCAATAGATATGGAACCCTGTATGTAGCGCCCTCTATCAGTAATCACAAAACTAAGATCATATTTGAATTTAGCATGATAAAAAAACCCTGTATACCACATTTTATCCATTTCTTGCGTCTCTGGCTAAAGATAATAAAAAAACCCAAACAAAAATAAAATTCAACACCCCGTATCTTTTAACCGAAGGCCTTGCAGACCCATGTTCATAGGAACTTTTTTTCTTATTTTAGTGACCTCT